TTTTTTTTTTATCCTCAGGCATATTTTACTACCGTTTTTTCTCAACAATTATTTAAAAATTTGTTATGCGAAATATATATTTTTGAAATATTTTAACCGAGTTTAGTTTAATTTATATTAACGTCGCACTAGCAGCAACACGAGGGCTATTGGCGACGGACCTCGTAATTTTGAACCACGGTCAAGTGACGAGGATGACATCCGAACTGGCACCCCCTCTCCTAACTCCCACACCATACCAATGGGAGAACTTTGAGCCCCGAACAGATTTAACGTGCATCAGCCACGGCGGGTCTTTGGCGGCCAAGGATCAAACCCGCGACTGAACAGAAACCGCCGGTCGCTAGTCCACGACCTTGACCACTAGGCTGTAGAGGCCATATTTTAACCGATTTTAATACAGCATTTTTATTTTTCCCAAGAAGGTCGTCTTTGGATCAAATCGATCTTTTTTACATGTTTATTTGCTTATCCGTAAAATAATAAAGTAACTTAATTGATTCAATTTGCTCTTGTATTTTATCCGAGATCAACACTTGATTTTCTTTAAATTCTAAAAAATGATCCGATTATTCACCGGAATGTAAGAGGTTAGATATAAAAGGTCAATTGAAAAGTCCCCGGCCTACCATAGTAAAACACATTTTTTTAGGCAAAATTAGTTTTTTTTATTCAACATAATTCCCTTCAAGGAAATACACTGATTATAGCGACCCTCTAACTTTTCGATACCATTTTTGTAGTACGATTTGTCCTTTGCTTCAAAATAGGCCTCAATTTCGGCGATCACCTCTTCATTCGACGAAAATTTCTTCCCAGCGAGCATTCTTTTGAGATCTGAGAACAGGAAATAGTCGCTGGGGGTCAGATCTGGAGAATACGGTGGAGGAGGAAGCAATTCGAAGCCCTATTCATGGATTTTTGCCATCGTTTTCACTGACTTGTGACACGGTGCATTTGTCTTGGTGAAGCAGCACTTTCTTTTTCTTCAAATGCGGCCGTTTTTCGGCGATTTCGTCCTTCAAACGGTCCAATAACGCTATGTAATTGATGGCCCTTCCTTTTTCAAGGTAGTCAATGAAAATTATTCCATGCGCATCCCAAAATACAGACGCCATAACCTTGCCAGCCGACTGTTGCGTTTTCCCACGCTTTGGAGCGGGTTCATCGTGTGCAGTCCACTCGAATGACTGTCGATTGGACTTCGGAGTGAAACGATGGAGCCATGTTTCATCCATTGTCACATATAGACGCAAAAACTCGGGTTTATTACGCTATCTTCAAACACTGCTCCGAATCATCGACTCGTCGTTGTTTTTGGTCAAAAGTGAGCTCGCGCGGCTCCCACTTTGCACAGAGCTTTCTCATACCCAAATATTCGTGAATATGATGTACACGTTCAGTTGATATCTCTAGAGTGACTGCTATTTCATTCAATTTCAATTGACGGTCATTCAAAATCATTTTGTGGATTTTTTTAATGTTTTCGTCGGTAACAACCTCTATTGGGCGTCCACCGTCTTCGGTGCTCATTTCACCACGTCTAAACTTAGCATACCAATCCTTGATGGTTGATTTTCCTGGGGCAGTGTCCGGAAACTCGGCATCAAGCCCAAGCTTTTGCTTCAACTGTATTTTTTCCCTTCAAAAAGCAATATTTTATCAACATGCGAAATTCCTTTTTATCAATTTTTTTCACAATAACAAAAGTTGCTTCACTCAAAATGCTATAATTCACAAACTAATGATCCGACAGCTCTCAAATTTATACACGCATCTTTTGAGGATTAGGGCTAACTAAAAACATATGGATTTAATTCTAGTAGCGCCATCTATGTGTCAGGCTGGGGACTTTTCAATTGACCTGTTATTAATGAATTAAATGAGTATATTTGCATTTCCTTTAGTAATAAAACTGCAAGTATAG